AATTCGTGGCAGAAACCAACATGCCCTTCATGATGCCCTACTGTGTGCCAGCTGGGTGCTCAGAGCTTTCCTTGTCAGTCATCGGTGAGCCCCATTCCATGGATCTGGGACCTGAGATTTGATGGACTCAGGGGTGACCGTCAGGTCAAGGTGACAATTGAAGGCCAAGTGGAATAGAGACGTTTTTTCACAGCCCCTCTAATTTGAATACAAAGGATGTTCTCTCGGCCCTTGGATTAAGCCGAGGCTTAAGCTGAGTCCTCTAGAGTCTGTAATAGCGTTCTGGAAGGAAAGCGAGAGTCACGTGGATTTGAATCGGCTTCATCAGATTGAGGCGCGTAGGTGCACAGGGCACATTCAGGAAACTGTAAATGGGCGCCTGTGTTGGAGACTTTGTCAAAACAGACATCATGTTGACAGGAGCTGTTTGCTAGCCAGGAATCGGGTCCCATTTGCCTGGTGGATATTTTGTGGGTGAATACGATAATGTGCCTCATCTCCATCGTTGATGGCCTTGTGGTAAAAAGAAAAAAGGGGACACTTAAAAAGCTTTGCGGGTGTTGACCGAGGGGTCAGTACCTTCTGGGTGTGGCCTTTCCTGCATCCCTGGTCCTGACAGTGGCGCAGGGATTTGTTGGTGAGCTCAGCGAGGGCTCCATCCTGGATGGCTCCCAAGCAGGAAAGGAGCCCTGATGGTATCCTGGGTGACGTATTGGGCTGCTAACCCGCAGGTCAGTGGTTCAAACCCTCCAACCGCTCCACAGGAGAAAGGCTTTCTACTGTAAGATTTCTCAAGCTTGGAAACCCAAATGGGGCAATTCTACTCTAGCCAGCAAGGTCAGAATTAACTCAGTGGCAGCGAGTTTTGATTTATGGTGAATAAGAACCTCTGCCTTGTGTTAAAGTGGGAGCACAGGAAGCCAAGACAGAGGGGCAGCGATTCATAAGGTCTGCAGTTTGAAACCCAAGAGCCACTCCTGGGGAGACAGAGAGGGCTTTCTACTCCTGGATCCAGATACAGCCTCAGAAACCCACAGGGCTAGTGCTTCTCTGTCCTAGAGGGTTTCCATGAGCCAGCATCGATGACCCTGAATTGAATTGAATATATGAGGGGGTACCCCCCAAAAAAACCCAATGGAATTGTTTCCTCCTCAAGCTATGTATTTAAAAAAAAAATTTTTTTTTTAAATAAAACAACTTTATCACCTTCGAAGAACTCTCCATTACACTTAACACATTTGTCAAATCTGCGATTCTGTCCTTGGAAACATTGTTCAAACTCATCTGTTTGGATGGCTGACAACACTTCCCTCATTTTTTTTCCCTTCATGTCTTATATGTCATCAAATTGCTCTCCTTTCATCTTTCATGTGCTTCTTCATTTTGGCGGGGGCGGGGGTGGGTGGTGGGTGGTGTGTGGGGCTGTTGCACGGAGCAAGGTCAGGAGAGTAAGGTGTGTGGGGCAAGAGAGGCAGACTGTTTTTTGCCAAAAACTGGCTCACTGACATGGCTGTCTGAGCAGGTGCGTTGTGGTGGCAAAACCAGTCCCCCATCTGCCACCAATCGGGCCTTTTTGGCCGCACTCTGTTACGCTATCTTTTCCAAACCTCTAAATAGAAAGCTTAATGAACAGTCTGGTCTGGCGGAGTGAACTCCAAATGCACTGTGCCTACCCCTTACATCAAAAAACCCAAATGAGCACAGAGTTTTTTGAGGGTTACCCCCTCATGTAGTTTAAAGAAGGAATGGATCGCCCCACGGCCACACAAACCTTATTTAAAATTTTAAATGTCTGAGGAAAGAGAGAGGAGCCCTGGTGACAAAGAGGGCTGCTTGCTAGTAGGTCAGAGGTTCAAACCCACCAACTGCTGCTTCTAGAGAGACAGCTGTGGAAATCCTGTGGAGCCGTCTGTTTGGTCCTGCACAGTTGCCATGAGTTGGTGGCAGTGGCTTGGTGTTTCGGGCTAAGGAAAAGGAGAGGGCATTGGGGATCCTGTAGTAGAAGTCGCCCCTTCCATGTGGGAGACCCAGTATGAGTCCCAGCTGGTGCACCTCACCCATTAGTGGAGGCTTGTGTGTGTTGCTATAATGCTGAACAGGTCTCAGCGGAGCTTCCAGACTTAGACGAGGAAGAAAGGCCTGGAAGTTTACCTTCCAGAAACCAGCCAGCCGAACCCTATGGATCCCATTGGTCTGACCTGCAGACAGTCATGGGGATGCTGCCCACCCCCCCCCAGCCCCCCGTACCCCCAGCAGGCACTGCCTAGTTCTGACAGCAGTCACCCACATCAAGGGCAGAGAGGCCGTCCGCTCCCCAATGCTGGCCCCTGTGTGCGCAAGGCTGTCACCATGTAGGATTTGCTTCTTTAAGATTCATGATCTGATTGTATCTCATACATTTGACCAGCACCTCCAGCCTCCCTTTCCTGGGCAAGGAAGCACAGGTCTGGTTTCAAAGCCATGAAGGAGCACCGCCAATCTGTGACTAAAATCTAGAGCATTTGCTTTCCAGCAGCCCGCTGGAGCGCAAGGGACGGGGAGCTGTTAGGCTCTTTTGGGAATGAAATGGGCGCCATGCAGTTGGTGAGAAAATGAAAGGGGGGCGGGGGGCATCGATGTTGTTCTTGATGGTCACGCTGCGGGCCATCCATCTACGTAACGCAGCTTTCTGAAGCCGGCAGCCGGCCCTTGGAAGGGTTGCTGAACTCTTTTGACTTCTGACCTTCATTGTCTTGCATCCTCTTAACGCTTCAGCTCTAAACAGATCTAAATTCGCTGAAATGCTGAGGTTAAGAAAGCACCTAAAATGTTTGTGGTGGTGGTGCCTTACTTTTTTGACGACGTGATCATCAACTAGAAATCAAAACCTTGCATTTAATTCCAAAGGTCAGCGTTCAGAGGAGGTGCCAGCTGATTCTAGTGTCAAGTCCAGTCTCCCAAGGCCCGTAGAGACCAATAGGAGCCCTGGTGGGGAAGTGGGCTGTGCATTGAGCTACTAACTGCAGAGTCAGCGATTCAAACTCACCAAGCCGCTCATGGGGAGAAATATGAGGGTGGTTTTAATTTTGTGTTTTCCCTTCAGGAAAGATTTACAGATCTTCGAAACCCAACGGATTGCTCGACTGGTGCAGGACAAGGCAGTGTTTTATTGTGTTGTGCACGAGGTCCCCAGGAGGAGGTCGCCTAACACTGGCACCCCACAGCACAATATTCCGGAAGCAAGGATGTTTAGAGTCACAGTGGGCTCCCAGCCTTCAGCTGTTCACAGCCCCCCAGCTCTAAGGAGGGAGGGGGGCTCCATTCCTTCAATGCACATTTCCGGGCTGGGTCATTATGATGTCCCAACAGACAGATGTCGTGTGCATTTTAAAAGAGCAGAGTGCTGAACTGCCTGCTTGCCTGTCACGGACTGGCTTTGCTCATTATGCTCCTCCAGGCACAACAGAAAGGAGCTGGTATCCGTTTCCTGGCTGACTCACACTCGGGCATGGGGCCTGAGGGAAATCACAGACTGGCTGGTCTTCCTTTCCACATCCGGCATCTTTCTGCATCGACCGCCCGGCCCGAGTGCCACTCACCTGCCGCGGGATGGTCATAGTGCCCCTGAATCATCAGTCAAGGAAGATGTGCTGGGGGTGGTCACTTGTCTGTGGTTTCCGGGAAAGCTGTGTAACACTAAGCAGCACTGCCGCACGGTTTCTGGACCGCTGTCATGAACGGGGAAGTGAAAGGGATCACAGGAAAGCAGTCCCTGTGCAGTCTGGTTCATTCAGATCTGATGATGTTATCGTTGTGAGTTACAGCGGCAGTCTTTATGGGAAAGAGTGGGGTGTCTCTGAGCGTCTTGGGGAGGACTCACTTAGGTGACCATTGGAGAAGGCCAGGGGCAAGGCTTAACGACCTCTTCTTGGATCATTCTGGTGATGAACCTTTGATCATTCTTTCCACAGAGATGCACCACGTCCTTTCCCTGTGCCTGCTATGAGGACACAGCTGGGAGCAAATAGACCAAGCCCGCATGTTGCTTGTGTGTAACCCCCCGGACACAAACCCACTGCCACCTAGGCCGTTCCTACTCAGCGCATTCCTATACAGCTTCCTGGAGACTGTGAATCTCCGTGGGTGCAGGCAGACTCATTTTTCTCCCTTGAAGCATCGGGTGAGCTTTGAACCACTGACCTTTTGGTTAGCAATTAAATGCCTAATCCACAGTGCCACCAGGGCGCCTTTGCTTTTTTTGGGAGGTACACACACACACACACACACACACACACACACAGTTACTGGTGAGTTGGTTTCAACCCCTGGCCACCCCACATATGTCAGGGTAGAATTCTGCTCCATAGGGCCTTTCCTGGCTGTGACCCGTTGGGGGCAGATGGCCAGTCCTTTCTTCTGAAGCACCCCAGGGTAGGTTCAAACCACGAACCTGTAGGTTAGTGGTTAAGCACTTAACCGTTCACACCACCTTGGACTGTAGAGAAGATTCACAGCCATGTTCAGGAACAAAGCAAAAGAACCACCCACACCCACTGCCGCCCTGTCAGTTCTGACTCATCGTGGTCCTTGGCAGGGTTTCTGAGGCTGTACGTCTTTCTAGGAACAGACAGCCTCCGCTTTCCCCCTCAGGAGGGGCTGTTGGGTTTGAACCGGAGGCCTAGTGGTTAGCAATCCAATTTGTACTCAACAGCGGCCCCCCGCTAACAAACACACAGCTAATTAAGACGCACAGTCTGTGAGAGGGCAGGGGTGCAGGGGAGACCGGCAGAGGGGCCAGGGAAGGCCTCTGGGATGGTGTGGTAGTCGAGGTCAGAGCTGCATCTGGTGATGGAGTGAGCCCTGTGGCCATGTGGGGGAAGTGTGCCAGTTGGGTGACCAGCAAGTTCAGTCTGTCTAGGCCCCCTTCCCTAACTGCCAAGTCCATCCCGGCTCGTAGCAACCCCATAATAGGGTAGAACTTCCGCTGTGGGTTTCCAAGATGGCAACTCTTTACGGAGGAGAAAGCCTCGTCTTTCTCCCTTGTAGCAGCTGGTGGCTTCGAACTGCTGACCTTGTGGTTAGCAGCCCAAGGAGTAACCTCATGGAGTAATCATCAGGGCTCTGTAACAGAAATGCCACAGTGGGAAACTTCAGAGAACAGAAATTCCTCTTCTCAGTGTTCGTGGGGCTGGCATCCCGAGTTAGGGCCCTGGCTGTAGGAGAAGGCTGCCTCTGTGTGTCGCTGGGGATGGCCCCTTCTTCTTCAGCCTCTGTAACCCGTGTGCGCCTGTTTCTGCATCATCTTCACATGACCTGTGTCTTCCCAGCCCGCTCTGCCCTGGCATCTAGGCTGTTCTTTTTAGAACTCAGAAATGACTTGGTGTGGGACCCACTCACTCGCTCTATGCTGACGTGGCTCCGTCCACCTGCACAGCAGGCTCTTCCTCCAAACGTGATGACACTCACAGGGGGGGGCGCTCCAA